GGGAAAGATCCCACAGCCAGACCCCTCCTGACTGCATCCCCATTCCTAAGGGGAAGAATCCCACAGCCAGAGACTCCTGAGCAGATCCTAAGGGAAAGATCCCACAGTCAAACCCCTCCTGAGCAGATATCCCTTCATAAGGGGAAGGATCCCCTTCCCAGAGAGAAACACCCTCATATCCAGAGCCCCCAGAGTGGATCCCCCTTCCTAAGGGGAAGATCCCACAGCCCTTGACCAGATTCCTCTTCGTAAGGGAGACATCCCCCTTATCAAGGAAAAGATCCTCCCTCCTGAGGGGAAGGATCCTCCAGCCAGAGCCCTTCCTAAGGGGAAGATCCCCTTTCCTAAGGGGAAGGATCCTACAGCCAAAGAAGGATTCCCTTCTTTGGGAAGAGAACTCCTGACTGAATTCCCCTTCCCAAGGGAAAGATTCCCCCTTCCTAAGGAGAAACACACCCACATCCAGAGCCCCTGACCGGATCCCTCTTCCCAAGGGGAAAGATCCCACAGCCAAACCCCTCCTGACCAGTTCACCCTTCCTAAGGGAAAGGATCCTCCTTCCTGAGGTGAGAGATCCCACAGCCAGAGACTCCCAAGTGGATTCTCCTTCTTAAGGGAAAGATCTCTCTTCCAAAGGAGAAAGATCCCACAGCCCTGACTGGATCCCCCATCCTAAGTGGAAAGATACCACTTCCCAAGGTGAAGGATCCCACAGCCAGAGATTCCTGAATGGATCCTCCTTCCTAAGAAAACATCCTTCAGCCCTGACCCAGATCCTCCTTCCTAAGGCAGGGGGGACTTAAGGTAAAGATCCCCCTTCCAAAGGGGAAAATCCCACAGAGCCCCTTCTTAAGGAAAAGATCCCACAGCCGGATCCCCCCGACCAGATTCCCTTTTCTAAGGGGTCCCACAGCCAGTGATTCCTCAGTGGATCCCCCTTCCCTAGGGGAAAGATCCCCCTTTCTAAGGGGAAGGATCCCCCAGCCGGACCCTTCCTGAGCAGTTCCCCTTTCCTAAGGGGAAGATCCTCCTTCCTAAGGTGAGAGACCCCCAGTCAGAGACTCCCGAGTGGATCCCCATTGCCAAGGAAACCTCTCCCAGCCAGACCCCCCGCCCTGCCCTCGATGCCAGACCCCACCTCACACAACCGGCGGCCTCCCCAGTCCCGCTCCCCCAGCCCCGGGATCCCTCCCCATCCCCCGGGCCCGTCCTGGACCTGCCACCGCCTCCTCTCGGCACTTCCGGGTTCTTCCTCGACCGCCGCCGCCCCGCCCCGACTGCCTCGCTTCCGCCGACCAATCCGACGCCGCCGCCACATCCGGGCAGCGCCACGGGCACCGCCCGCTTCCGCCCGGCCGTGCCGCGACTTCAGCGCCCTCAGCGGGACGTCGGGCGTGATGACGTCACCCTTAAAGGGGCAGCGCCCTTGGCTCCGGACCACCCCAAAACCGGCCCTTCTTGCTCCAAAACGGGCCCTTCCCGCCCCAAAACCCGCCCTTCTCACCCCAAATCTGGCTCTTCTTGCCCCAAAACCGGCCCTCCTTTCCCCAGAACTGCCCTTCTCACCCCAAAACCCCCTCCCAGTCCCAAAACCGGCCCCTCTGATCCCAAAACTGGCCATTCCCACTCTAAAACCAGCCCTTCTGCCCCCAAAATCAGCCATTCCCGCCCCAAAGCTGGCCGTCCCCACCCCAAAACCAGCCATTCTCACCCCCAAAACCCCCTTTCCCACCCCAAAACTGGCCCTTCTCACCCCAAAACGGGCCAAACAACCCCGAGTCCAGTCGGGCTCAGCCTTCCAGGCTCCTCAGGTCCACCCAGGGGGAAAACACAGCTCCACACAGGTTTTTACACACTGCAGGGATTTTACTTCAGCAAAAATGAGTGAAAAGGAAGGGAAAAAAAAATCCTATATTTTCAGGCCAAATCCTATTAGTTGTCATATATCGAGGAAACCAAGAAAAGCTCTTTCTGTTGAAGGTTGAGGGGTGTTCCTTTAGGATTCTCCCAGCTCCGAGTCTTTGTTTATTCCTCACATCCCTCTGGGAGCGGAGTTGCGGTGTAAGAGTAGAAAATTCCTGCGAGATCCATAAAATCATCGGGGGGGG